CTGGGGTCGCTGAAGATTCATGGTGCTCTTGAGCGGCCGCTGGCCATGATATCTTGGTATTCGCCACTTGGATTGATCCATACCGTCCTGGGCTAGGCCCAATCTAAGCAAGTGCATGCATATAAACTATCGCGCGCAGCAACTGATGACAAACCCTTGCAGTGACTTCATGCATGGCATGCTGTGACAAGAACATGTCAAGCAGGAAACTCAAAACTTAATTCAACTCATCCCATCGACCCAGTGCATGCACAATGGGGATCCTGGAGTTGTAAGCGGCGTGGCAGTTTGCAAGAACTCTTCAAGATCCCTGTCTCTGGCAACTTCGTCTAGATGAGCCCTGTAAGCCGTTGCGTTTTGAAATTTGTCTGCTGGAGTGATTGCTTTCTTGAACCGGGACTTGAACGCAGCGCACGCATCGCACGTGCCGTGCGTCGAGGGTGGAAGGAATCGCAGGAGGTTATGCCAATGGGAACGGAACGTGTTCCAAAAATACCCGTAGCTGCAGCTGGCTTCTTTGACTTGACACTCCAATTGAAATTTGTGGTACAACATTCGGATTGTGCCGGGTGGCAACCAGTGCGTTGGTAGCTCGGAGAGCTTCGATGCGAAATTCGTCTCGATAGAACTGGTCCAAAATCCAGTCATCCCCAGGATGTGTAGCCGAAGCTCCTGATCTTCCTCTAGGGGCTCCCGTGGAATGACAATGTCTTCCTCCTCTGGCCCCTCCACTGAAGACTCTGAGGACTCAGATTGCTGATCATCGGCCTCGAAGACGACGGTCATCGTCTCCTTCTGAGCATTCCTCTTGCGGCTTCCCCTTTGAAACCTCACTCAACTGTGATGCTCGAACGAGGAAAAGTCGCAACTGTTCACGACTATTTGCAACCAAATGGCTTGTTTGGCAACATACCTGCTGCCTTCATATAAACATCAAGGAGGAAAAAATTGACCCTCCTTCTCTTGCGCGCTGTCCGAGTTCGTGCCTAAGATTGAATGACTTGAATTGGAAGCTGCATGGACCAGCCGATAACAAGGAAATAGCAGGGTTCAATATGGGTGGGAATGCAAAAACGTCCTGGGAGACAACGTGATTAATTTGACTTGAATGCCTGAATGCCGGACTAATGAATGCCAAATGTCCGTTCCATCTGATTTCCGCATATCCCGACGGTGCTGCATGATCCGGTTGTAGCGATCGAGGCCCATGCCCAACAACGCAAGCGCACATGTCGGGGAGACAAGCTTTCCAAGAACATACCATGGCCGTCGCTGGCCAACTTTGTTCCCAGCCACGAAGAGAACCTCCACCCGACCAACCATTGAACTCAAGACCCCGCAAAAAAACATGCAATTCAACGATCACCATCAAATTTGATGAAGATTCAAGTCGAGCAACAAATGCATCCTGTGCGCCCTTTGCAAACGACCAAAATACTTTGAGGAACTGCAGAAGCCTTTCTAGCATCCGGGTTTGTTTGAACTTGACGAAACATATCCTCCGGTGACATCGGCATTGGTCCTGGCCAAGCAATCGTTGTACTCGAGCTGGGCTAGGGCCATTCTCAGCATGCCTTGGATTGTTTTCTGTCCCGGAGACCCGCGAAGCCTGATTCCCATGTCATGGTTGAAATTCACATCATTTAGCAAACTGGCAAGGTGCGACACTCGAGTCTGCTGGATTTTAAAGAACCTCCTTCTGGACCCATCATAGTTCGGCCGTTTTCGGAAATTCTCTGATCCTACAGGTTTGGGATGCTCTTCTGACATACCTCGGATTCCTTCGAAGCGTTTTAAGGCTTCTGTATCAAATTGCACGCAACTCTTGCCCTTTGGATCAACATCAAATGCATCTGGCAATGGTTCCTCAACCAGTGGCAATGGTTCCTCAACCAGCGTCGCCACCTCTTGGCTTGGTTCTGGGCATGAGGTCGGGACAACCTGTGTTGGCTGTGATGATGAAGCCAATGATCTCAAGAACCTCGCCGTGTGCAAGCCAATTTGTGAACTTTAAATTGAATTGTAGGTGATTTGGGTGTGGTGACTTGCAAGAGATTCAAAGCTTTCTTGCCTACTGAAAAGTGTTTTGTATGTTAACGATGATGGTCACACTGGAGTGGAACACGTGACATCAAACTGTCAATTTGTGAGGCCTCTTCCTCTCAGCAGACATGCAATGGTCCTGAGCGGGCCGTTGGCTTGCAAACGCTCAATGAACAAGATCTCAAACACCTCAACATCAAACAGCCACCATAAAGCACCTGGACCCGTGGTGAAAAGGACAATCGACACCCTGCCCATCTTGCCCTGCCTCAGGATGAAGTGGAGTGGCTTCCCTGAACCTCCTGGAAGGACAGCGCGGAATGGGGCGGGAAGGAGGTTGATGGTGGGGAGGATTGGATAGAATCATCACTGAGTTACTTTTAGTCAGTCAGACTGATTTAATGTTAGTTCCCTTGCCGTAGCCATGTCATGATAGTCCTCCAATCGGTCTTCAACTGGCAGCCGCCGCTCACGCAGGACGATGCCAAGATCCTGAATGGCATGAGAGGCCAAGGTGGTCGGAGGACGCGGTGAATTTGTCAGAAGACTTTCGCAAAGTTAGGATTTCGCAGAGCTAGGAGGTCCATGTTCCTTTGACCACCGATCCGGGATTAGTGCATGTCTCAGGGCAGGACTGATCTTGGCTGCACAGTCAGCTCACCAAGGCATGTACGTTTGGCAAATGGATGTTGACATGATTTTGTACTTAGACACACTCAGTGGATTTCGTGGCATAGTCTCAAAGTGTTCATTGTCAAATAGATGATGCACAGAATATCTAATGCCGGTTCGGTTGCGTTTGAGAAATGCTGCATTCAAAAACATGCAATCAAGGAATTGAATCAAGAACTGCCCTGATGAAGCGATTCGGCGGATGAAAGAAAGCCGCTCAGGCTTCGGACAGCATCGAATGAACTCGTCATTGGAAAGACCTGGCGGCGGGCAGTGGAAAAGTCAATCGGAGTCGACTGAACGTACGACCTCATCACCCGAAACTCCCAACCCATCCCATCCCTAATGCACTCGTCATTGAATCATGATTCATTCTCTCATGCGATTCCGCGATGGACATAACAGGATGAAGCACATTAAAAACGCAAAGGAGAGTGGATGTACCTACATCAACGGAATGGAGCTGTCGTCGCAACCCAACATGTTAACATGTTTTGCCCGACCGATTCCTGAATGCTGTCATCATCGAAGGGTCGTTCTAAGACTCTAAGATTCAATGCCTGTTTTAGGCAATTCCAAGCTTGTCCAACTAAAGGACAAAATTCATGCCATGCTCCATGCACGGTTGGTTTGGGGATGTTTGGGGTCAATCAGACCAAGACAAATCCTTCATCATCGGCTGGCTGCTCCTGAGCCTGCTCATCTTCTGCTGGTCCTGGCCTTGCTGATGATGCTGATGCGGAATTCAGCCATTCGCCTGCTGGAGAGGCTGATGGCTGCGAGGTCATGGATGCTGCATTTGCAGCTGATGGCTGCGAGGTCATGGATGCTGCATAATTTGCAGCTGATGGCTGCGAGGTCATGGATGCTGCATTTGCCCGTGATGGCTGCGAGGTCATGGATCCTGCAGAGGCTGATGGCTGCGAGG